ATTGGTCGACCCCCCAGTTTTGATGAGGCGATTTTTGAAAAACAGGTCGACCTATACGCGAGTAAATACGGTATACACTGTAGGAACCTTCTTAGACTTTCGCAAAGCTTTTGATTCAATTAATCGCAACATTCTTTTATTGAAGTTATTTTACGGTATAAGGGGAAAAACTTGGGATTTAATTTGCAGCTATTTATCCGACGGGTCACAATATGTAAAAATAAATAATGTATCTGAGCAAGAAAAAATAAGGTATGGCATACCTCAAGGATCAATTCTAGGGCCATTACAGTTCCTTATTTATATCAATGATATAATAAATATACCTAAAACTCCAGACATTATACTTTACGCAGATGATACTAATGTGTTTTATACGGATAAAGATATACCGTAATATCCCGAGTCATCGCCCATCCCCGAGCCATCGCCCACCCCATTTTTTGGGCCGATATCGATTTCTGAAAAAACACCGAGTCATCGCCCACCCCTTCAAATACTCCAGCGCGGACTCTGCGATCCGCGAACACTCATCCTACCCGAATGACGCGGCCGCGGACCTTACAGTTGGAGGACGTCCGTGACAAAGTAAAACGAAGGAGGGAAAGACACTTCTTTTTGTTTACGCATTTCCTCCGTGAGCGACCCCAAAGTGGTCGTGTATCCGTGCGAAAAGAAAACGATGGAGATAACAAAATAAGAGTTTGTTAATGTAACCGCGGAGTGTTAGGTCAAAGTCTGTCTCCGCCGAAGTAAGGTCACCGCGAACCCGCTCCTTCTTCCCGCCCATCGCGACCGCGGTTGTGCAATATTTTAGGCAAAGCCAACGCGTAAATAAAGCTTTGCTGGAACGCCCTACACAGACGTTTGCAGAGCGTCCCAACCGTGCATTGATAGCCCGCCGTGCACGGACGCACGTATGTACGCACCAAACAAGAAAGTTGCGCAAGACCTTGCGATTGACAAGGCGCCCGACTTGGCTTGACGCCAAAGTATTTGCCAACGCGACCGCCGGCTTTCCCGCTTTCCCAGCATTGCTCTTGGTCGCTTCTTTGGTCCGCTCGCTCGCTCGCTCGCTCGCTCGTTGCGCCTGGTCGGTTTTTCTATTTTCTTGTAGACTTTTCTTTCTTTTTTTTTTTTTACTAACTAGGAGAACATAGTGGTGACATTCTTTCACGGAACAAACGTTCGCGCTATATGCAGATCGGCGGTGTTTCTAGCGCGTATGCAAGCAACGGACTTCGCTATAGTAAAATATTCTTTCGTGAGCATTTTTTTCTATAAAACAATGAAGCTAAATCGAGTTTTGAGTTTGATGTATCTCTTGTGTATCAGCGCTAGATACACAGAGAAGAATAGGCGGTTTTTTCCGCTTTTTTTCAAGTGTTTGTGCTCACCCACCGAGACATGGCCCACCCCACTTTTTTAATGAATTTCAGGCGGTAGGGGGGTGGGCGATGACTCGGGATATTACGGTAGGTGTTATCGAGGATGCATCAAATGCATGGCTGCGCGAGCTAACTCTGGCTTAACTCCAACCAGCTAGAACTAAACATTAACAAAACAAAATAACTATTTTCAAACCTGGTCTAAAGCAACTAGGTAGTTATTTTAAAATAATGTTTGATAACATGGATATGGAGCGAGTGACCTTCCTAAAATTCCTGGGCGTTTGGTTCGAAGAAACACTAAGCTGGACCCACCATATAAACCATGTCAGTTTTAAAATATCTCTATCCACAGGCATCATATACAAACTAAAAGATCTCCTTCCTAGTTGGCTAAAATGTCAGTTCTACTACAGTCAAATTCAATCGCACCTCCATTACTGCTTATTAATCTGGGGAACCACCACTTAAACCAATCTAGATAGATTATTAGGCATACAGAAAAAAGCAGTTTGCTGTATTGCAGGTGCTCATTTCACCTCTCATTCATCTCCATACTTCAAAAAGTACCAAATTTTGGATATAAAGACGCTTATACGCTAAAACTAACCATGGAAATGTATTATTACTATAACAATGAACAAAATTAATTTTTTTGAAACTTATCATACTAAGACAACCCAATATAATCTGCGGAATGAAATTTACATGAAACCCAAAATACGGACAAACTATGGCTCACAAGCCCCATTGGCCTACAAAACACCTGAAATCTTGAATAGACACTCCTGTGTAGTTGAACTATTAAAATCTCCTACTTCATTACCTAGATTTAAAAAGACCATCAAACACTACCTTTCGCACGCATCGAATAGTTCTCTATTTATGTATGAATGTATGCATGTATGAATGGTATGTATTTCGTATTCTGCATTTTTATTTGTAGTTTTGTGAGAAGCTTCTAGCCATACGCCATCCGTTATCTTTCTGTGCATTCAAGTTGAAACTTGATCGTAAAATGTGTTTCCCTGTTTAATGTGCATATGTTAATCCCATGTTTCTATGCTTGCAACCGATTGGTCTGTTTGTGTTTATTTTTACCATTTTCTTTTTTTTTTTTTTTTTTTTTTCTGCTGCACAATGTGGTGGGGTGGGGGGGGCCTTGTCAGGTAAAGTCTGTTTACCTTTTACCCACTTGCCCGTGACTGAAAAAGTCCAAATAAAGGTTATTATTATTATTATAAATATGTGATATCATAAGGCGTCACCGCTGGCTTGATCAGAAACCAGAGGCTTTGGGTGTAAAAGAGCAAGACCATCACGGTATTAAACAGAATATATCTCTCGACTGATGCGTGATCACTCCTCATTAGGGTGACCACCCGTCCCGCGACTCGCGGGACTGTCCCTCATTGAGGGCTCGTGTCCCGCGTCCCGCAAGAAATTCCCAAATCTTCAAAATGTCCCGCATTTCATACTGTCGTAAAATTCACTCTGCAATTCATGGCGCTGCCCAACAACGGGGCACGGGGAAGCGCGGAGGTCGCTGGTGATCGTGTGAATCGCGTGGGTACGCCATTTTCTATCCAAGCATTGCGGGAAGCGAACGTCGTTCTTGCAGTAGAACCGACACGCTTGCTCCGTTGCGCCTCACCCCTTGGTGGCAAAATATTCTAAAGAAAATTGCTCACCAAAATTTTAAATATAAGTTACTGTAATTATTTTCATATCGCTGTGTTACAGCAAAAGGTTTGCCGTGATTTATTTTTAATTTTTTCGTGAAGACAACTACACAAGGGAAAAAGCCTGCAACTCACAAGGGTCGAAAAATAACATACTGCTAAAAATTTGTCTACACTCTAAAAAAAGCCCAGGCGTCTACTTTCATGCACAACACTCGGCGGGCCAATCACCGCAAGTTACGGAGGCAGCTCAGCGAATGATGACGCCGAAACATATGTTTAGACAAAAAAACGCCGCCCGAGTTGTGACATTACGCAATGCAAGCATGACGTTTTGCATTGCTTAATGTCAAAACTTCTACTGTGCTTTTCGGTCTAAACATATGTTTCGGCATAGCCATTCGCTGAGCTGCTTCCATAACTCGCGGTGATTGGCCCGCCGAGTGTTGTGCGTGAAAGTAGACGCACGGGCTTTTTTTAGTGTAGCACCATGTTGATACCAGTAAGCATTAACAGGAAACAATAACCAGAAAAAGATTTACGATTTCTTATTTCCATTTGATGCATTGAGTTCTGCTTCAGTTGATTTTTATGTTTTAGGTTTCAACACATTTAATAACACATTTGGCATAAAAAAAGTATATCACTGGGAGTAAAAAATATTTGAGCTAAATTGCTGAGCCTGCAATACAATTAGAAGGTGTACAAACAGCACAGGATATTAAATGTGTTAACAGAGCCTCGGTTCATAATGTGCAAGTTAATAAATTCCTCCCCCCCTCCCCTCTCCTCTCTTTCTCTCTCTCCCTCCTCCCCTCCCCTCCCCCCCTCCCGCCCCCCCCCCTCCCCTCCCTCCCTCCCTCCCTCCCTCCCTCCCTCCCTCCCTCCCTCCCTCCCCCCCCGCACCCCCACCGCCCGCCCCCCCCCCCCCCCCCCCCCCCCCCCCCCCGCGCCGCTTAACGCCCTCATTGCCCCGCTGTCCCGCATTTCGCTTGCAGGAAGGTTGTCACCTTACTGCTTATGCGTGTGCCAAGCGGCAATAATTGATAAAATCTGCCATGAAAAGTATTTTTCGCTCCTGTTATTATCCGATTGCTCTTTGCTTGCTGGCAGATAAAGTAGATGTACTGGGATTGAGCTGGCTGTGGCTATTTTCGCCAGCACATGAAGATATAAGTGTTCTTAATTTCCAGGTCTTGCGTAAAAGAAGTTAGCACCCACTGCGGCACCGAACGTTTTGTATAGTAGTGTTGTACTCAAGTAAGCTGACATTGATTGGAAACTGAGGTCGGCTGCTACACAGGATATCTGTGCAAAGCAGTGGTGTATCCAAGAATTTTTTTCAGGGGGGGCAAAGGTGGCTGCGATGTCCACAACTTGCAGTGCGAAGGGCGGGAAGGGGGGGCCAAATTGCATGTGTATATTATAGATTCGGCAGTATTTGGAGTGGGGGGGGGGGGGGGGGGGGTGCCGAAGCCCCATAAGCCTCCCCCCTAGCTATGCCACTGGTGCAAAGTGCTTTTGCTAGGAGCAGCACCGTGGTCCGACTGTCTTGTCGCACACTTCTAATACCATCCACCAACGAAAGTATTCAAGTGGCAACAAATCAAGTCACAGGAACCAACATGCCACGCTGCTGGATGTTGCCATCTCGGCAGTTGGCCGTAGACGTCACAACAAAAAAGGCAAGCGAACGCGAGTGTTGTCATCGTTGGAGTGTCCCAACTCCTGGCTGCCGAGGTTTCTGCAAACTGTTAAGATCCGCCTCCCCTGCCATGCCACCACCAGGATTGTGGTTGGCAACAGCATGACACGAGCATAGTGTCACTGGGCAAGAATCGAGGGATTCCAAATGTAAACGTGGCAAACACACCAATCAGAGACGCGTTCCAGGCACTATACTGCGATGACAGACCCTCCCGCAACCAACCTTTTCCTGAAGACATATTCGAGGTAGGACGCCTGCAGGGCAGCCCTGGTCTCCGAGATGTACTTGGTGTCGTACACGCCACTGGGAAACATCTCGGTCAGGTCGGCCAGGAAGCTGGGCAGCTTTGCAGGCAGTGCCAGGTAGAAGCTATGGTAGAGGAAGGCCAGGTCCAGCAGCCCATTGTGCAGCACGATGGGCTTGCGCCACAGCAGCAGCTGGAGGAACAGCGTCCGCAGTGAGACGCCGCCATCCTCGTTCGCCTCATTCGGCTGCAAGGCAAAACCTGGCTCAGTTTGTTTGCCGCACAGCGCGCCGCTGTGTCCATTGCGCCGAAACTTCACTCTGGGACCCTGTTTTCACTCAACTCAAACCTCACTGGAATACATGTGTGGTTCCAGTAAGGGAATGTTAAAAGTTTTTCGTTTCAAGACCTTCGCTAAAGTGGGGGTTCGCTCAAGCAAGGTTTTACTGCGTGGAGGAACATCTAGGCAACTAGACGTGCGAAGAACAGAGCTGTGTCCCCACTGGCGCATTAACTATTATCCAATTTTGGATTTCAAGATAGTACAACTAGATGAGGGAGTAGTACAAGGTTGAACACCGAAGTAATTAGCCTTCCTGATGAAGAATACAAAATAAGTAGACAGCACATCAGCATTAAAGGAGCTGTGCAACAATTCCAGTGCTCTGCTTAAATAATTTAGGAGTTGGTGGTTCGACCTTTCTGAAATAAAGAACAAAAAACCGCTTTTGCCTGCATGTCCTAGTTTTTATTTTAAAAATTGACAAAGATTGAGATTTTCGGCACCTCTCAACTCCTTCACCACCTTCCGCGTCATGTGCGCTGCGACGTGAATGGGGGACGCACGGGGTTCTGGTGAAGCTCTCTCTAGAGCCATCAGTGAGCAACGAGAACTCACCCGCTCGCGACCATGTGACCCCGTGCTTGCGCAGCACGATCAACATGGCGAAAGGAGGAAAGTCTCGTCCGGGTCCGGCCATCCCCATCCCACTCTGCCCCCGTCCCCCTCCGGCTTCTGGCGGCTGTTCGCGGTAGCAGATAGAGCCGACGGTTTTGTTGACTTCGGATAGATGGCACCACTAAAACTCCATATAATAGAAGTTTAGTCGTTGGTACCAGGTTTTTGATGCCTTTATATTTATTTGAACAACAAGATTTATAGAAAAATTACCGTTTATCAAGCAGGTATTTGCACAACTTCCTATCTTTTTACAAGTCCCCCATTGACGTCATCCTACGTGGTTCTCATGGCTGCCGCTCACGGCTGCAGGTCGGGAAATATTCTAACTTTTGCCTCGCGACTGCGCGGCGGAATCGCAGCATTTTAAAGGAAGGAGATGTGTTTTCTGTCCTTTGCGACAAGATAAACAATGTCAAAAATAGAAGATGCAAATTCTTTCAATGTTAAAATCGTTGCACAGCTCCTTTAAAGGCAACTCTGCTCGATTTCACAAATTTTGAGATAGTGGGTGATATAAATCTGAAAAGTAGTCCAAGACAACCCTAGATCGTTTGTCTCATGAAAACAAAAAAAAAATTTTGTGCAATCTTGTTATTTATTGTAATCGCAAGCCAAAACTTCGACACAGCCGAGCAACACTGTACCCTCGACGTCAGTTGTATACGCACCCACGTGGGATACGAGGGGTCACGTGATTTATCTGTGGTAACCTAGAAATGTCGCGGATGCATGGGGAAGGGCAAGAAGTGGAAAGGGAAGACAGGCGAAGCGGCGGCAGAGAAGAGGCGACGCAAGTGGCAACGAAGCAGGCTATGTAGGTTGCAACACAGGCGGCTAGTCAGCGAAACATAGCGTGCGACATCCCGTACCACCCTCTCCTTCTTTCGGTTTTCCTTGATTTCATTCTTTTTCATCTCTCGCTCAGACTTGGCACGAAGAAACAGGAGAAAACTGTGCATGCAACAGATGCCAGCCACAATGGAAATACAATGTTGGCTGCGCCGCACGTCGCCCGCTAAATTAGCGGATTTTGGTGACTTCTGGCATCTTTGTCTTTGTTGGCCGGTTCAATGATCATTTAGGTGGTATGACATTCTAATATTTGACATGTGATCTATATAGATGATACTAGAGAGAGCTGTATTGTTTTCTCACAACCGAGAATGAAGCGGAGTTTCCCTTTAAGGACTGCTGCAGCAAAAAGGATAAGGGGATCTAGAGTAATGATACTAACTAACGGAATCCTTGGTTTACTTTTTCATACACCACGAACAGCAGAAAGTTAAGTGTTCAACTGCTCTGACATTTAATAACTGAGAATTGCTACCGTCAGATTTTTCAGGGGTGGTGGAAAGTGAGAGAAAAAATCTAAGGTTGAATGTGGATAGGCCCGAGATAAACTAGTTAATACACATGGGTTTTTCTTCTCCGTGTGCTCAGCACTAAGAAATTAGCACAAGCAACCAATGACCAGAGTGGTGAAATCACCGCATGTGGCAGAGTGGTGCTGCAAGTACGCTTGGACCAAGAGTGGCTGGACTAGAGTGCCCAAATCACCTTCTGTTTAGGGCGATGAAGTTCTTTGTAGCACCCGATGCCAATAACATGTGCTCATAGGGAAAATACATGTTTTCACACGTTCCAGAACAGAAAAGAAAAAAAGCGTTCAGAATGAAATAGTCAAATGTCATCATCTTAAGCAAAGCACACATGAATGCACCCTAGGCCGGATCATACTCACTTTTCAACCTCGGGGACGTTTCAGCAGACCATTATTGTTTGTGAAAAATTTGTTTTTTCATGAGCAGTATGGCTGTCAAGGGCAACAGGTCAAGCATGAGACAGTACTTCCTTCTTGTCAGAGGAAACAAGGTACTCCCAGTAACATATATTTTAGTTACCCTTTGTGAACATTCAACATATATTACGTCGCACCTCCTAGGTGTCGCTCCTTGTTCTTTGGTCAGCTTCGCTCCCATTACGGACATGCACGTAGAAACTGTGAATATTCCTGAATAAAGACATAAACCACTCAAATCGTAACACTGTCATCGAAAGGAAGTGTAGAAAGCTGTAAAAACAGCTCTACCACACTGGTGGCAGGGAAGATACAGCTGCTCTCAATACAAGAGTGAAAAGAGAACCCCTGTGCACGGTCCTACACAACCGGCGAAGGCCTGAAGCAGAGAGAGCAGCGGCATATTGAAAGACTGCTTTGGGAAAGGCGTATTTCAGCAGACCTCCTTCATGCTGCACAGAGGGGAGCTGCCCAGCAATAGCCGCTCGCTTGTTTATAACCGTTTCAGTACCAACTATACATCTGTACTGCTGCCCCAGGGATGAATGCAGTGATTAAATTCCTTACCCGGTCATTTCCCCGGTAATAGGGCACTCCAAGAGAGTACTGCCTGTTGAAGTCGAAACCATGGCTAATGAGGAACTGAAGAGATGACGGCTCGACGATATAGTTTTCTTTGCAGAGGACTAGAATATTGAACGTCTGCACCGTGAATCTGGGAACAGAAAAAAACATTCAGAACAGTAAACATTCAGTGGAAAAGGAATTGGCCTTCCAGAGCCCTAGCACATGCATGTCAGAGTAATTGAGGTTCTAGCATAATCTTAATCTGCGTGGAAGAGTGCTCTTAGGCAGAAACAAGTGTTTCTCTGAAAGTTTTCCATCTACTTCAAATGCAGAATTTCAAAACTTACTTCACCGTAATAGTCTACAGGCTGGTCTGTGCTACAGCAAAAAGGGTGAACCATGCCTATAAGAGTCTACCGTAAAATACTGTGTAAGCGCCCACTTCATTCAAGTGCGCACCATTAACATTTGAAAAACTTGGAAATTCTGGAAGTTATATCTAGGGTGTGTACTTTCCGGTGTTTATTTGTGGGAAAAATCGGCGGATGTTTTTCGGTGTTTATTTATTTTCGAAACACCGGTGTATTTCGGTAGAACGTCTCACGACGAGGATAAAATCTGTGATTATCGGTGGAAAAAAAAATGCGATTGATCACGGACAGAGAGTTCCAATTTTATTCACATATTTTATACACTTATTGTCAAGGAAGCATCTATTTCTCACGCTTGGTTATTATAGTAGATGCAAGCATACTTCGAGAGGCTTGCATCCGTCATGGCAGCACGTTCCTTGCGGTTCACAACCCGCAATTTTGAAAACGCACGTTCCACATTTGCGCTGGACACGGGAAATCACAAAATGTCCAGCGAGGCTTGGGACAGTAGTAGCCAGTCAGGTAAATGAAGTTTCCAAAATAACACTGGATTAACGGTGCTAGTCACAGCCTACTGGCAGTAACAAAGAAACTCTGATTCTAGGTCACTCGGCTTGCGCTCGTCTCGGAGGACCAGCCGATAGATACTTTCATAGGGCACAAATCCTTCTGGCAGCTCCACTTTTATGCACGGATTAACAATTTGCACGCGGAACCAGAACGACGATTTCTCCATGATGAATGATGAAAACCCCCATGCCAACGAAAACTTTTATCCGTTTCCCCAAAAACCCACGGAAACTAAACAGATAACAATGAACGCATCTCAGTTCTCAAAGGTCTGTACGACACGGATGTTGGCAGTGTCTTCCAGGAACCAGAGCAACCTCTGAATACATGGCTTGCACCGGCATCACTTGGCCAGACACAATGGGGAAAGGGCACGTGAGAGCGTACCCTCCACTGCGTTAATTTTTTCACAAAAGAGGGCCATGGGAGACACAATGGGGGAAAGGCGTGTCAGAGCTTAGCTTCCATGCATTAACTAGACGCTTTTGACCCCCAGAAAGGAGGGCGGACTGACGCCACGTGCAAGAATGCAGGATCCACGAGATAACACGTTTGACGAACCTCTACGGGGAAAGGGTTTCGCTAGGTCGGTGTTTTTCAACCGGTGTTTTTCGGTTTTAACCAGGACGAAAATATCCAATCACCGGTGTTTTTCGGTTTTAACCGATTTTGTATTTTCGTCACCGACGGATGTTTATCAGTGTTTTTCGGTTAAAACCGGAAAATACACACCCTAGTTATATCATATGTTAAGTGCCCGAGTTTACCGTACAAGCGCCCATGTTTAGATTAACCCAGTTTTCAGTGAAAGTGGGATTGGCATTCCCCCGGTATTTTATGGAATTTGAAGTGCCAGTTAGCCCTAAGTAAACGGGGAAAAAAGAACTTTGTGGCATCTCAAACACTTATCAACTTAATGAAGTTGAATTTAACAGACTTCTTGCCACATCAGGAAGTTTGTGCTTTCATTTTTAGTTCATATTGATAACATAACCATTATTGTAAATGTTTCACTTAGGCTGTGCAGAGGACAGCATCATACATTACAAAATAATAGAAAACAATGACAATTTAAGCACTCCTTACAGTACTGGATCGAACAAAAAATGGCAAATGGAACTAAATTATGATGAAACAGCTGTCATGACAATCTTGTGTAAAAAAAAAAGGTGAATTCAACTGAACTATTCTTTTGACGGATGACCTGGAGCCCCAATCTGGACACTTGGCGAAAAATCTGACGGCCGTGACTGGCCGGCGCCACACTTGACCTTGGCATTGGCCAATAAATGCCCCCGGATTTCTCGCCAAGTGTCCAGGTTAGGGTCTGTGTAAAGCGAGTGTAAGTGAATACAAGGATCTAGGACTTCTCTTAAATAATAACCTGAAATAGAACCAGCATCTGCAAGCGACTGCCAATAAAGCCACAGGTAAGTTGTCTGCAATGAAAAAGGAAATTAAAGTTTGCTGAATCAGAAATGAAGCGTGTTGTCTCTAGAATAGTTTTGTTAGACCAATAATAGAATTTTCAAGCTCAATATGGGGCCCTTCCACCACAGATGTAATTAATACACTAGAAATTAATGTAAAATTAGCTGCTTAATTTTTAATAATCCTGGAACGGAATAATAATCTACAGAATTGTTCAAAAAGTTGAGCTGCAAACAAGAGCAAGAATAGACAGATTAAAGGTTTTTGTACAACATCCTCAGCGGCAACCGTAACATCCATTGTCACCTTACCCCCACCCAGGTCTCTAAATCTAAAAGAACCAGACCAGAGCCATTAGACAGTACATGTTTAAGAATGATTAATGTCCTTTCTTCTCTTGGGCAATTTCAGGCAAACAAAATGACAAAGAATATTGTCATATAGTACATCTTTTGAAAATTTTGTATCGGATGTAGGATAGCGCAGCTAATCAATGGTTCCTCGAGTGGAACTACTGGTGAAATGTGGATGGATGCATGGATGGATGCTAACGGTTGTACCCTTTATAGCAGGTGGTAATTTGTGCCACCTAGCCTAGAAATGAATAACCAAAAGTATTTCTTTCCTTAGCCAACTTGCTTACCCTCTACAATTTCGTAACTATTACCGAGCGGTGCAGGATACCACCAGGATGACCTTTGAGGAATTGGGCAAAAATAGCCTTCCGCCTCCCACCTCACCTCCCGCCTCTTCCCCCGGCAAGGGGGTCTCCAAAAGCACCGCTGTTGTCAATCATCCATGATTGGCTGAACAATCATTATGACTGCTCCGATTAATTCTACTTTACACAACAAAAATAAGAGTCATGTCGGGCTGTCAACTTTGATGGTGCTCGTTTAAAGGGGCAGTGCAACATTTTTCTGACTTTGGCCAATCAACTGCAGGAATTAATGTGTCACCTATGGAATGAAGAACAGAAAACAGTCTTTTCTTGGGCGTGCTAGTTTTTATTATAAACAAATTAAACAAATCAAAGGTCAAAGTGCCTCTCAAGTTTTATGTCGTCTTTCCAGTAACATACTCTGGGGGACTCCCTGGTTTCCTGTGGGGTTCTCTCTACAGATCCCCCAGCCGCTTCCTCAGTGGTTGTCGACTTTTCAAGGATTAGCATCGCAAAAGGTCGCGGCGAGAGATAAACACAAAAGAGAGTTCGCTAGGGGGCTCACGGCAACTGTAGCAGCAGAGGGGAACAGGTTTTGTTGACTTCCAAGTGTCCCCCACAAGACGTTTCACCATAGTTCCCGTAACCGCCACACGCGGCTGGAGATCGGCAAATAATTAGATTTTTCCTTCGTGATTACGCAGCAGAATAGCACTTTGTTGGGGCAAGGGGCGCATTTTTTATCACTTGTGCCTAAGCAATACAAAAAATAGAAATTGCAAATTCTTTTCACATTAAAATCATTGTTCCAATGACTTTTTACACACACCACCAACTTGTCATTTCTTAACTGGTAATCTAAATAAAACATCTTGTCACCAAAATACGGAGGCAACTCTCTGTGTCCTTTCAGAAGCGAAGAGTGTGAGTGCATAGTCTTGATTGGTGATCCAGGTGCGAGAGCACCAATAGCTTTGGCTTCATTGGAACATTTAGAGAAATTTGAATAAAGACTTTAATAACACAATGTTTCGGAATTGAGTCTTTCCTCCTTCAAGTGTACAATCCTGAACAACGGAGCAACAGCCTCTTGCTCTTGTCACGCCATTCAACCGTTGTCAGCAAAAGCTCTCGCGCTGCCTGTGGTGCGAATTGAGATTAGTGATGGTGCCAAATGGCTGACCTTTTTATTTAATAGAATTCACAGATTTTATTCAGTTCACTTCGCCATGCAGCATTAATCGCCGCAGCTTCTCTGTGTTGAAAATGCAGCCCTGGCGTTTCTTATGCCCCCCAAAATAATCTTTTATGAGTCTTACTCTTCTGTGTAAATCATTGCCATTGTAATATTGCGACTGGTCTTAGTGTTTTCTATGCGTCATCAGTGGGAATTCGAAACGCACGTGTCGCATCGTTAGCTTCGCAATCAGCACCGAATGTAATGGGAAACTGAAGCAAATAGGTGCAAATTTTATTTACGAAAAGGGCAGTCCACTTGGTACCATCACTGCTCTCTAAGTGCACCACAGGCTGCGTGAGAGCTTACGCTGACACCCGTTGAATGGCACAACAAGGGCGAGAGGCTGTCGCTTCGTCATTCCCGATTCTTTTGTTCAGGCCTGTACAACCACAGTTGCAGAACGTTTTTGTATCAGGATACCAGAAACATCCTGCACCTGTGGTGTGTACACTTGAAGAACGAAAGACTCTTGCCGAAACATTGTGTTATTAAACTCTGTTGGTATTAAAATTTTCCTGCGAATCTATCTCTTAATGAAAACTATTTTTTTTTTTTCAAGTATGTATATTTAGTTTTATTAGACTAGAAAGTTGTCCTAAATAAAATAATAAATACCCCTACAGGAAGGACTTCTGTAGGTTGAGGTATGCAGCCTAGGAAGTCTAGAAGCAGTCACTTTGGCCGTTTCCTCGGTTTTCGGTTTGCGTGGCGTGAAAGAAGCGTTTCTTACTTGAGGGACCCGGTGACCGAAGACCTGGAATCGTGCCGAAAACACGACAGTCCGATGGAAATTATGGCTCTGGTGTCCGCCACCCGAGATACTGCGCTGTAGCGGTCCTCCACCGACCTGTGGACACGAAAGGTGTTCAAAAAGTCCAGGACGTTGCAGCAGCCCAAACTTACTTGGCATTTATTTCTTTTCTGCCCCCAATCCCACTCAGCTCCTGCGATGTGACGGAAAACGTAATAAGAGTGCTGCAGTTTTTGGCCGGCTAAAGTGTCTCACCAAGTCGATAGCGACGTAGAGAGACGTCTTCACGGCAAGGATAAGGGATGGCCAGATGCTGGCCACGTTCTCTTCGGTTACGTCGACCACGGGGACGCTGCTGATTTCGCTCATTCTCAAACCGCGACGAACATCGGAAGAAATCCCGCCGATACAGCCGATGCCGCCTCACAAAAGCACCTGACAGCACCAACGGTGGAGTGTAGCCGGTGGAGCAACGGTAGGTAACAGCAACGCACTGTGTTGTTTCGTTTTTGCTAGCATCCAGCCATCTAGCCATCCTAAGCCATTCAAACCATCCAAATTGGAGACTGTATCTGCGGATATTTAAAACATTACACTACATCGGCATACTATATTAAATAACTCACTTTGTTTTATTTCCCAGAGTTAGTCGCATTTAGTTGTCATTTATGCGTATGCATGTCCACGCAATGCATGCAGGGAACTAGTTGGCCATGATGTTTCGGTTTCGATCGTTGGACATGTGGGGCGGGTGGTGTGGCCGTGTGCAGTGTGGAGTCGTTTTGTGTCGCTGCCACCTTGAAGCATGCTCTGAAGCGCGGGCCAGGAGCGATAGCGGGCCTCTGAAAACTACCTACCAAAACTCACTATTTTAACATGGTCTAAGCGCAAAAGCTAGCAGCGCGAGTGGATAGCTCCACGAGTGGCAACTTTAGCGCACTACTGCGCTTCTCACGCGCTCAAGGTTTTTCTGAAAATAACTGATTTAGTGGTTTTCGATCACGCTCAGCAAGTTTCTAATTGGAACTATATGTCTATTTTCACTAATTAAAAAGTTGATTAACGAATTTTAGTTAATTATCCAACTGATCGTTATGATTAGCCCCATATACTATGTCCCCCTGGCCGTATAACTCACCTGAACAAACCGCACAAGTATAGCGATCACAGCGTTTTTTAAACAAATCTGTTAAATTTAAAAAAAAAACACTATATATATATATATATATATAGAGAGAGAGAGAGAGAGAGAGAGAGAGAGAGAGAGAGGTGGACTACACGATGCGACATGAACACCCACATCAGATATACTTCCAGGGCCAACTGACCTTTGCCTGAACCCTCCTTGCTCCACAGCGTTGCTCTATTTGTGCTGCCATGTGATCCATTAGAGTAGATTTGAAACACAGTCATGCATAGGAGCAACCGTACAGACCCCCACCCCCCCCCCCCCCCTCCCTTTTTTTTTTTTTTTTTATTGACAGCACTCGCCGGAACAGCTAGACGGTCCGGAACTTCGTGGCCGATATATGATGCAAAGACATCTACGCGCGACATACCTCCAAAACTTTCCCGCGGCGCCGTTTCTTGATCGGTATCCAAGCGTGCGAAGGCACAGAGACGCAGCACTTCGGCGTGCCAAGAAAGCTTTGATCACGCCGCGAGGACGGCGAAACTTGCTTTCAACGAGTTGTACCTTTCCATACGGCTCCACGCACATTGCACTCGCAAAACACATCCACACGGCGCTGATTCTTGATCGGTATCCAGGCATGCGAAGGCACAGAGACGCAGCACTTTGGCGTGCCAGGGAAGCTTTGATCACGACGCGATACTGGCGGAGCTTGCTCTCGACTTAGTTGTGGCTCTTTCCTGCGATACTGCGTTTTCGTAAAAATGTCCTTGTATTCTGAACGGCAATTCTCATCGCTTACAATGGTCTTAAAAAACTTCTTCTGCAAATGACGATGAATGAGTAGAAAACGTGTCTTCAGCAGGCTGCCGCCAGCCTGTGCAACGCTAGCAAAAATGCGATTTCGCTGCACACAAAATGGCCGTCCGGTGGCCGCACTCGCGGAGCGGGTGCGGCCACCGGATGGTAAATAATTAGATTAACATTGATTGAGACTAAAGGCTGGTTCACACTGCCCTATTTTCTTACGGTAAGTTACATTACGAAATATTACGTTGAAGTCACCGGGCCTCTGTGCTTCATATTAAGCGAGGATACCAGTTCAAGGAGAAAGCGTTACACGCGACATTCAAGACACGAATGTTTCGGTGACTTATACGTAACGTAACTTAACGTAAGAAAATGGAGCAGTGTAAATGGGCCTTAAACCGTCGTCATTTTTAGTTTATTTTGTTTTTAAGAACATTGGGAGCGTTTCAAACAGCTCGATGACGTTCACTCAAATCTTATGGCGCGAATTTCAAAGCCGATCAAAGCAGACAACCAAAGCCGACCAAAAACGCCTGTTCTGAAAAGCTACTTCGCTTTACGTTGCGTCTACATTCGTCGCTAACAAAAACAGGTTAATTTTTTTACATTCCTTGGCATCGAGATGAACGACAGTAAGCTGTCGAAGCTTAGCAAAAGGCTCACCATGCCGAAACTACCCATTAATGTTTTTCCTTCGACAAGTAGTGGAAAACGCGTTTGCAGCGACGACGAGAATAAGGAGCCTTCGGTCAGCGGCAGCTCGGGTAGCACCTGCAACAAGCGATTTCTTTCTGACGAAGATGAATCTCCGGCAATGTCGGGAGAAATGTCCAAGATTCTCGACAGTTTTGGCAACGATGTCGCCAAATCACTGCATGCCAAGAAAGGACGACTTCGGAAACACCTTCGTGTAAGTCTAGGTGACCAAATCAAACCTTTTCCTTTAGCTTTTCCCCGTTCTTCTGCGTTGCTTTTCTTGGTTCTTTTTCTTAAATTAGTAGTATTATTGCTTACTTTTCTATTCTTACAACTCCCTCCCCAAAAAATATTTTTCTTCTATTTTCTAACAACATATTCAATTAATTCACCGTAATCTCGTTTCAGACATCAACGAAAGCTATTACAAATAAGATTTCGGGCTTGGATGAATCCTCGCTAGCCGAACGGCAGAAAGTTGACGAAGAGTTTGGGAAACAAGTTACCGTCATTATCGAACAAATCGAAAACGACTTGCAAAAAGTGAAGGAGTCGGAGGAGAAGATTACGGTAAGATATCCTAGTTCAGTCTAGTCAGAAATGGGACACTTCTCGAACTTGGACGTATTCACCTTCCAGAAAGCCATTGTGCAATACCAGAAGAATCACCAGCAGTTCATAGAACGCAGTACCATCAAGTTCAGGTTTTTGAAGTCACTCTGGACTACCTACTTTGACGTAAGCTCTGCAAGCTGCGACGCTAATTCTGGCTATTTTCTACTTTCAAACCAAACTTTTTTGCCAACTCGCGTAATTTCTGTTCAGCATTGTTGGGAAAACAAGTCGTGCTTGGGAAAGGAATTTAGACGCCTAAGTGCCCGTTCAAATAAAACGCACCTGCTTGAGAGAGAGCCTAGCACATGTGTTTTTCCTGCCACCGTGCACAACATGGTAGAAAGAGATCGGTGCTGCCCAAAAGATAACTTAGTAAAGTCCATGTTAGCCAATGCATCGATATCTATGGGTTCAAAGCGAATTGCAGCGACCATCACAAGCGTGTACAGTAGAATCTGGTATAGTATGTACAGTGAGTCATCCCCTCCTCTCCCCGTCCTGATAGGCAACTAAAAAGATGGATGCCAAGCAGACAGCTCAACAGCAGAAGCTCAACTCGGAAGTCAAGGACGAAATCCTCAGCCTCCAGAAGATTCTCACCGACGCTCAAGAGCACGAGATAGTCAAGATCCGCAGCAACCTGCAGAGCATCCTGATGTAGCGCATTTCCGCATTCTCTACAAGTCTAGAGGCAAATTGGACAGTAACATGTTATTCATTTCTGATGCCGCCTATAGCATAACTTTGTTGTTTGGACTCCTTCCGAAGCCGGGTATTACTTTCGGTTGAAAAGACGTTGCAGTGGCATTGCAGGAAAAGCATGGGGCAGTTGTTAGCATTGTTGCCAGTGCAACTAAGGGCAAGCGTGCCACCCGCTTGTTCAAAGACAATGAATGTGCTAGCAACCTTGCTTGCCTCTTCGATATCTGTACTCGTTAAAATAAAGGAACCAATGATTTTTTTTTGTTGTTGTTTTTTGTCTATTCATTATTTGGTAATGAAGCTTATATTCTAAAGGTCATTCACACTATGAATGTAGCCAATATTATATTCATTTATATAGAGTGCAACACAGTTGTCATGAGCATGCGATCAACGAACGGTTTTAATATTTTTCCTTCTGGAGCTCAAAAAACTGTTATGGAAGTTACTAGTGTAGTGGAATCTGCTAACAGACACCAGCAGCTTTGGGCTAGAATTCGGCATGTGGTGCTGATATGTAGAAAGAAAATGCACAAAAGTCCAAATATTGTGCTCAGGGTACCTGTGTTGCAGAAGGTATCTCACGTGAGTGGCATATTATACATAAAAAAAAAGACTAAGAAAAGAGATGTGTATGCTTTCAGCATGTCTTTCTTTCCCAAGCTGAGAATGTGCACTTAAGGCTAAGCTTGCAACACTCACCGAGGCTCTCGATCGAGCAGCGGGAAATGGTAAGGTAAATAGTCTTCTTCTTCTTTCTTCCCTTCACTCACACCTCGTATGCCACCCGCCATGCCGACGCCTGGATGGTCCCGCGCTCAAGAACAAACTACGGAAATCAGATGGTTAGATACCAGCTACCCAAAATGTTCAACTATTTTTTATCGCGGAATATTACAATTGAAAACTGTTCCAACTAACGCATACTATCTTTACTGGTTTCGTGAGAAATCTGATTGTGTACTCTTGAGAGCGGTTTTGTTTTGAGTGCCTCTTCTGCTGTTGGGGGAGGAGAGGGCGCTGTCAAGCAGTTTTGTATAAAGCCCCTTGATAAAAGCGTTTTTTTACAAGTACCGCCAACCATTGTTGTGGAAGCGCGCGAGACACGTGCCATGAGCGGGTACTCCACCGGTATTCGCTTCTAAGGCTCGCTCATTTCAGTACTGCGCCGCCATTTGCTTCCAAGGGCCGCTCGAGACATGGGCCTCGTGCACTCGCGTATTTGACGCTACTTGCAAGACAAACGCAAACACATCGAGGGGCTTTAGTTTTGTACTGCTTTTTTCTCTCCTCCCTCTCTTCTTCTATGAAGAGGAATAAAGAAACTTGAAATTTGGCGGTCTACATGCAAAATTTTGGCAGGCATCTGTCACGTCCCAGTGAAGGGCTGAAGATTAATTTCAACTAACTTAAAAACTTTTGACGAGCAGAGCAACGTTGTTCACGCAATAAGCCTTCGTCATACTGCAAACACCTCAACCGGGGTTCAAACCCGCCAAATGGGGATCCGGAGGCCAGTGCTATGCTCCACAGCCACAGGCCTGACTGGTGGGAAAGGCACCCTCAGCTCTTGTATCCCCTAGTGTCAGGGTAGTTCCAAGCTCCCACCATAACCAGAGTTGGAATTCAAAACTTCTATCATTTGTTTTGGACGTGCAGTATAAACTTTTTTTTTTCTCAAATTGAACTTGCGATCAACATAAAAACACATTATACAATGGTACATTCAATATCCCAGAACTGAAAAAGATTGACAGCAATTGAGAGTAATCTGAAGAAAACCAGCATTTTTCTGTTACATTTTATTCTCCCTGAAAAAAATAATGATTATAATGAAAAAAATATATATATGTGGCCACTCACGCGCTTGCTCGCCAACGCAATTTATTTTAAGTAGAAAAGAAAAAGTTTTTGGCATAAATTAAATATTCTGCCTGACAGTTTGAAACAATGTCAGTGCATACATGATGCAACATATTTGCCCGAAGCTAGGCGTGCAATCAGAAAGAACCTATATTGTCACGAATGACAAGGTGAAACAAAGAATAACTGGGGAAACTGAAACGTTTAATGGGGCGAACTTGTGCCCAAAAATAAAAAGGAAACAAGATAAGAGCAGAGCGCCGCGGGCGTCGAAGTCGGCGAAAGAGCAGAGTCGAACGCTGGGGCAAGACTGACTCGACAAGGTCGCGGGCGGCCTGTTATCTACAGGGTGATACAAGGAGACACCAGGCTCTTTAAATCGACCGGAAAATTCGGTTTCTTAACCTATCGCGCTACGACTTCGTGCAGCGTTGGCCACAAATGGTGTTTTTTTGTTTGTTTTTTTGTTTTTTTTTTTTTGTTTGTAAAATTTGCGAAGAGCGAATTTACTTGAGGAAAAATTAAAGAAAGAAAAAGGCTTAGCTCCTATGGAAACGCAGCGAAGCTGTTGTTTGTTTGTTTGTTTATTGTGGGGTGTCGGGAAGGGGGGGAGCTAGGAGAAATGTGGGCCTCCGTACAGGGGCAAGTCGTTACCTTGCCTTTGGGGAATGGGAGGAATAGAGAGGAAAGAGAGAGAGAAAAAGAAAAGAAAGAATGATTGAGGCGTTTTAACGGGGCGTTGAATCGGTTAACTGACAGGCGAGTAGCGTGACTCTGAATAGCCCCGTTTAAACGGGCATCCGTACTTTGTGGAGGAAGCAGGTCTGACACAATTGATTAGTGCGTAATTACGCTAGAGCCGGCTTGCAATTCCACTTTCGCACAGATAAGCTAGGAGAGCACGAAAGGCCTTCTCGGCTACTCCTTGAGTCCCGTTTGGATTTAGAAGGTCTTCAAGATTGGAGTGGGAGAGGCCGGCCGTCGCATACCGCTGAATCAGAAGCTTCCGATGCTGGTCGTGGCTTGGGCATAGAAGAAGAGCGTGCGCTGTGTCTTTAGGGTCACCGCAAGATGGACAGTACGAGTCTGACTTGCGGTCGTACATGTGAAGGCGTTTGGAAGTATGCGCACATCCAGATCGAAGCCTGTGCAGCAAGGATGCCTCGGCACGTGGGAGTCGACTCTGGTAAAAAGGGTTACAAACCACACCTACGTGGGCATGATTATAGATGACCGTGTGACCTGGAGGCCAGAAGTTCATAGAACTCTACAGCGATGCCGTGAGCTTCTACGTGTTCTCTGATACCTTGGAGGTGCTTCATGGGGAGCACCACAACGATCAATGCTACAGTTGTACAAAGGCCTTATAATGTCCAAGCTTTTATACTCCCTGCCATGCACTTCTAAGAATAGGGCCGGCCCAAATGCGTGACATTGACATATTTCACCGTATAGCACTGCGTTTCTGCTTGGGGCTCCCACCATCTGCCGAAAATCTGGCGACTCTGACAGCAGCAGAAGAATGGCACTTTCTTTGAGACTCAAGGAAAGAGCTATGCGGCATATTGCCCGAATCAGCAGCGTCGCCACAAAAGATAACATTCTTACTCGCCTTCTAGCACGACCAAACTCTCAGCTGGGACAACTGGCATCTCTATTTCAACATGAGATTGGTGGTCCTGCAGAATACTTGAGTTCCACGCCTCCGCACTCAACCCGCTTACCCCTAGTCGTACATGAGACGCTACCAACCGGCCAGCGTAAAGCTAACGTCCCTGTGTTGGCCGCGCGGTCGATTGAATGAAGCGCATGAAGGCTGGATTCAGGTATATACCGATGCGTCAGTAGACAGGTCAAAAAAATCGGCGACGGTCGCGGTCACCATTCCGGACATGGGTTACGACGTCTCAGGCAGAATTGACTTCGAGACCACATCCACGACTGCAGAATTAGTTGCCATTTGGGCAGCCCTCGAATCAATCAAAAATGTCTCACCTCCAGCGAAAGCTGTAATTTTCACCGACTCCAGGGGAGCCCTTCAGCAGCTTCAACGACATGTGCAAATCACTCCATTATTGGCAAGGGTAGCATTCACGGCGGCAAACATTGAAGACCTTGGCTGGAAGTTGGCCTTTCAGTGGATACCTTGTCATGTTGGAATCCCCGGCAACGAGAGAGCGCAGCGAAGCCACCGGTCTGCAAACAACACGGCGCCGTTTCGCACGGGAGACAAGAGATGGCGCAAGCGGTCGTGACTCCAACTGCCGCCAACGAACGAGCAGACGACGCCGAGAGCCGGCGTATTTAGCAGACAAGGAACTGCAGTTCCTTGTTGTTACCGTGCCGGTTTTTGTTTCTGCGACTGTCGCCGCCTGCGCAACGCGCACCGCTTTTGAGTCGAAAAGATCGTCTGCTAAAGACGCTGGCTCTCGGCGCCGTATGCTCGTTCGTTGGCGGCGTTCGTTGCGCCATCTCTTGTCTCCCGTGCGAAACGGCGCCGTGTTGTTTGAAGACCGGTGGCGTCGCTGCGTTTTCATAGGAGCTAAGCCTCTTTCTTTCTTTACTTTTTCTTCAGGTAAGTTCGCTCTTTGCAAATTTTACAAAAAAAAGAAAAAAAAGCACCATCATTCATTCATTCATTCATTCATTCAATGCTTTATTTTCAAACTTGCTTTCAAAATACACAAAAACTGTTTGGACCCATAGCCGTTCAGGCTATGGGTCCAAACAGTTTTTGTGGGCAACGCCACACAAAGTCGTAGCGCGATAGGTTAAGAAACCGAATTTTCCGGTCGATTTAAAGAGCCTAGCGTCTCCTTGTATCGCCCTGTAGAGTGAGTCACTATCTCGAAGATTCAGCGGAGAAGGTTCGAGCGTAGCGCGGTGGGTGCGATAATGAACACGCACTTTCTAGAACAACAAAAGCAGAGATAAACGATAGAAGTTATGTCCGCAGCAAGAATAAATGAGAACCTTCTACAAGTCCGTGACCCTGCGCACGGCAATATCGCATTTGAGCCTTCCAGGTATGTAAACTACGATCAAACTTTCCGTAGTCCCGCGGAAAAACTTCCAGCTATGGCAAAAACGGGCATTGCTGGTGCATTCCTCTACAGTAGGGGTGTAATGCTACGCAACGAGTCCACCTTTCTGTGAACTGGGCATGTGCTTTTGCGTGGACTGCTTCATTGGAAAAGGTTCAATGTTGAGGCTGTGTTGTAACTCTATCAAGGGCATTTCCCTATGCTTCTCGTAGTAAGCGCACATTAGGTTTTTCGCATTGTACCCCACACGTAGCGCCCAAGGGAGATGGCTTGAAACGTAGTCCCTGCCACTACTGACCTAAAAGGGACAAATAATAGAGCAAA